ACACTAAATATTGACACCAGTAGAGAAAAGATGATATCAGTAAGATAAAAGTGAAATCGAATGGTAGATTAATGAACTTTTAAAGTTTAAGTCTCGTCCAGTTTTTTTTCATATTTTGTCAATCATTCTGTATGTACAGTTTTCATAGTAAATAAACATATCGCTTTCTCATGAAGCAAGGTCTCCATGATTAAAATAAATACTTAAATTCATAAGTTATAAATTCATTGTGTTAGATTAATCCCCAAGTGTGGTCATTTTCCAAATATTATACAGTATGTAGATTGTATGAATAAGTAGTTCAATAGTGTCATCACATGCAATATACTTATTTACAGATTTGTCTTTAGATTCAACCCTTACAAATACATAAACATTGATAATTAAATTATGGTGAAATGGAACATAAAATAAAAAGGAAATAAAAGAATCAAAATAATTTCAACAAGATCATTTCATTGTAGGATGAACCTCAAATGCAATATTATGATTTAATGGATATTTGTTGAGGTTGATTCAGAACTACTTCAACATTTATCAAGAAGGGAAAATTCATTGATATTAGATACATATCTTTCACATGACCACAAATTGCACAAGCATTTATCTACCTGCATGTTTTGAACACTTGGTACCATCTCAAGAACTGATCATGAATACTGTATTACTACCTACTCTACATGATATTACCAGGTATGAAACCATATTTCAGGACTTTCATCAAAATACTGTGTAAATTAAGCCTATATGATTTGATTGTGAATTTATCTTTTGATAAAAAACAAAATTAATGTAACGCATACGCAAGCAGGGGGTTGTATTCAAAAGAAGTACAAAGGTATTAACATCAATCATGAATTTAAAGAATTTTCAAGACCAAGTTTGATACTTTATGGATGGGCTAATTGGGCAATCTTGGTAGACATGGCAATAGGTACATGCGACCTTTAGATCAACTGTAAATATCTTTTGAAATGTCATTCTTATATTATGTCATCCTTTTATGCGGTCATTTGTTTTTCCAACTGCTGTTTCAATATGCAATTTTAAGTTCCAGGATGCTTCTATGGTGGCATTCTGGTTCTCTTTCTGTTTCACCTGAAATATCTCAGGGCTGGGGAGAAGATGTTATGATGGCGAGGCATTAGCATTTTAATGTATGATTCAGTTTAAGCACCATTTAAACTGTGGATAAATTCTAAGCTTGTTGCCAGTGGGTTCATACTTTCATTGTTTTTATTATCATTCCAGATATTACTAAGAAAATGAACCACATTTTGGAAATTCTTTTACACCGCGGTTTGCCGAACTGAATTCAATGATCTTTCATCAATATACAGGGTGTCAAATAAGCCTGTTCTCCCCCCTTAACTTTTTTATCTTTACATTTATCATACTTTACCATATATCATTTTGAAGCTCATGGAAAATGCTGATCATCCTCAAAAAATCAATCATAAACTCATCCTAATAAAATTGCTACAATGTTTCTTGTAAGGTTGTAGTTGACCTTTGATTACGTCAAAACAAGTAAAATTACCAGGTAAAGTGAATGAAAAGTGAAAAGTTGATACTCAAGTGACAATGCCAACATTGGGTGATTTCGATGTTTCTCAATATCATTACAGAGTAAAATGTGTTACATTCAGGGAGCCTTTGAAGCAGGGGCATCTTTCATCACAAAATAGTTGATAACACCTAAAATTAATCGTTCTGAATGATTTATACAGGATCATATCCTCGTAGAATTGAGGTCCTCCGGGCTACTTGGGGAGACATACAGACTTTTAAAAAGTGAAATATGGACATCACTAAAAATACTCTAAAAAATTGGAATTTAACCAATCACTCTGACATTTGGTGTGTGATCAGCAAATTAAATTCCCTTTAAGATGATATATACCAACCCTATGTTATCTCTGAATAAAAAAAGTTAAGGGGGGAGAACAGACTTATTTGACGCCCTGTAATATCACTACACGTTGTCTACCTTAATTTAATGTTTGATGGAGAGAAAATCACAAGCTTTGTGTACCTAAATATAAAGATATTTGAGAAAGTTTCCGCGATTTAAACTCATTTCAAAGCCTAAATGCAGCATTTATTTTGACATATATATAGATTATACAGGGTGTTAAACCCGGGGTGTTAAATAAGCCCCGTCCCCCTCTACAGCCAAAACCAAGATATGTGGTATATTGTGTGATATATCGTTAGAATGACTTCCAAAGTTACGTTGGCATATAGCTGAAACCTGTCAGTCAATGTTACAAATCGCTACATTGCATCAATTGAGGTGACCATAGACCTAAAAAAATGTTTATGTATATGGCAGGATTTTGAGAATCAGGGACCAGAAAAGTCCAAGGAACCCAAGATGTCAACATTTGTGAATGGCTGTAAATTCAACCAATTTCTGGATAGAGTTATGTGTGTAGAAAAGAGAGGGTTGAGGATAGTGGTGTCCATGAAAACTCTTTTGTCGTAACAGTGGAATGCGAAAAAGTCTAGTCTAATTAATGAGGGATAGCAATAGTTAATTAAGCAGGCCTATATTTTACAATCGAAAGTGTCATTTTTGCCTTTTCTTGAAAGTAGTATATGGCATTATTACTATATATTAATCTTATCATTACATATGCATATAACTAATTAAAAGTTAATTTTGAGATTAAATGTGTTATTTTTGGGGTAAATCACGGGTTATAGAAAAACCTTTAATCCATTGGTGCTTGATTGGTAGTCAAAGTCAATCACGCTACTTTGTCTAACTTAATCAAATGATGCTTGATTGGAAATAACTTATTCGCTTTTCCTACCCTCATCGAATGATTTTTGATTTAGAGAAAGCCACCCGCTTTGTTTACCTTTTAATGATGTCTGAATGATGAAAATCAACCTGATTTGCCTTATCTTATTGGTAGTGGTTTGTTTTGCTACATGATTCTAGTGGAGAAGAATTGATTTTGCTTTCAGGGAGAAACGAGATAGAAGGAGGTAGAGTCATTGCAGCTTCATTCGTCACTTGGGTAGACCAGCCGTTACGTCATGTAGACAGGTAAACAGGGACGACAATATTTATCTGTGTGAATGATAGTGAACTATTGTGTTCCCCTATTCCATGACCTTCCAAGAATTGGCAAGAGACTCGGGGAAACTACAGGATTTATCCTACAAGTCTTCTAATTGATACCTGATACATATTGTGTGTTGTAAACAGGCAGAGCCATTTAAAACTCAGATCTCTTTCTAACAAGAAGCTGACCATGGCATCAATTATATAAAGATATATGCACAAGATGCGTGATTGTATAATTCATTAAAGATCACTGATAAACAGTTACTCTGGCAAAACTAGAAAGAACACACATTCCAACGTTCATATCGATCAACAGTAGCCGTGAATGAAAACATTGTGAGGAAAACTATGAAGTAAACACGTTGGATACGTTTTTGTGTTTGATACCACATTTATCAGATACTTAAATGAGTAACTGATGTAAACATTTTCGACTACACCAGCATAGAAATTTATATACAGGATTTTTATATGTATACAGGAATTTTATTTTTTGACCATATAGAAATTTCTATACAGGCGATCTAGCAAAATTATTTTATTACTGAATTAAAATTTTCGACTACACCAGCATAGAAATTTCTATACAGGATTTTTATATGTATACAGGAATTTTATTTTTTGACCATATAGAAATTTCTATACGGGCGATCTAGCAAAATTATTTTTCCTGCGCCGCATAGAAATTTCTATGCAGCATTTCGATTTTTATTTATCAATCTTATCCCTATAGAAATTTCTATGCTGCAACCATAATGTATATCTACACCCGCATAGAAATTTCTATACGGTGAGAAATGTTTTTCTAGTAACAGAACTAGTATTTTTCGACGGCCTTCACATAGAAATTTCTATACAGGTATTCAGTTTTGAATTTTCTGCTTTGTCGGTAAAGAAATTTCTATGCCGATTACCAAATATTCATCAATAACAAAATTAATATCCCAGCCTCATCCGCATAGAAATTTCTATACGAAAAGTCAACGGAGTCTTGTATAGAAATTTCTATCCGAGGATAGTGTATTTGAAAATCTAGTTCGAAGTTACATACAAAATTCTATACGATGAAATGAAACACAATTTTACTAGACATTAACATGAATATGTATTGATAAAATGATTTTAACTTTATCTGGTTTGCTGAAAAATTCATATACTTTGTATAAATATTGTAAATCTAATATGATAATAAAACATTGACGGTTGAAATACATGAAATGCACTGCTGTTTTTACGTTTTGGGGTTTTCAAAAAGGGACTAAACGGTTCATTCTCTTTTTAAATGGTCACGACTTACATGCAATTGATTGCTTTCGTTTTGTAGAAAACATTAGCTGCAATTTTAGACAATATGAATGGGAATGCATTAACATTTAAATTTAATCAAAGTAATGTTATAGCGGCAATTTTAGACAATATGAATAGGAATGCATTAAAATTTAAATTTTATCAAAGTAATGTTATAATTCATATAAGAAACTATAATCTCATTTTGGTTAACCCGACATAAATTGAATATGAATCTTAACAAAAGATGCATATCTTATAAATAAATAAAAAAGAAGCCCGCTCATCTCGAAATCACAACCTCATGTTTATGACGTTCTGGCACTCTAGACCATGGACCTTGCCAGATTCCTCCTGTTGGTCCCTAGCATTAATGATATTATTCATTACTCAATGATATTACTTCATTGAGCCTATTACCAATAGGGACTGTGGACTGTGGATCTGACTTGGGTCTGTGCCCTAGACCGCTCAGCTACATGTAACCACAAAAATTGTTTCATCAGCTAATCATATAATATTCTCAGTACTGTAATTAGACTCAAGAAACTTTGTTGAATCATTTTAGAAATGAAGAATACATTTATAAAAGATTAACTAAATAGGAAAAATATATTAACTTAACTTACACCAGGAACATCAGCCACTCCGGCAACATCAGCTGCACCAGGAACATCAGCGGCACCGAGTACATCAGCTGCACCAGTTACATCAGCTGCACCAGGAACATCAACTGCACCGAGTACACCAGCTGCACCAGTAACATCAGCTGCACCAGTTACATCAGCTGCACCAGTTACATCAGCTGTACCAGTAACATCAGCTGCACCAGTAACATCAGCTGCACCAGTTACATCAGCTGCACCAGGAACTTCAGCTACACCGAGTACACCGACAACACCAGGTAATTTTAGATAAGAGTTTATTTTATAGCTTGTTACATAAAGGACACATATGCTTAATGTTTAATTATTCTCGTGGCTAACTTTTCGTTGTTCTGTTTCATTTTACTGCATTTATACTCATGAAGTCAATTTCAGTTTTGTTTTTATAAAGTTAGATGAAGTTATACATTTTAAACCCTTTATGTAAATCAGATAGTTCAACGTTTTTTAAACGTTATTCTGGTAAAAAATCTGTTTCTAGTCTTTCTCATCATTCAAGAGGATATTTTCAAACAGAAGCTTTTTAACAATTATGAAATGATTTAAATGATTAAGAGATTTCTTCAGTTTTTTTTAACTTCACCAGTTCAGATTCTACAACCTCCCGATATCCCCTTACATATATCATTTATTGTAAAAAGGCACAAGTAAAATACCATTGCATTAAAAAATGGCGCAACCGTTATTCAATAAAATTTGGTTTTCCACGATTCAGTGAGATATAGGCAAAATCATTACTACCTTTTCGGCACAGGCGTAACTCATTGTCTTATGCTTCAGAAAATGTGAACTTTTGCAAACGAATCACTCCGTAACACTCCAAAATGAGCAATATTCTTCCTTACTTAAGATACGTAAAAATGTGCTCACATCTTTGTTCAGTGGATACGACAACGGATACAGTTCCTTTGTCATATACCAACTGGTCTGTGTTTAATAACAAATTTTCAACTTTTATTTTTGCAAAACCAGTATGGAAGTACATGTAATTCTACTCCTACCGAAATAAGAAACATTGCCTGAATAAGCTAAAGGAATACAGTCTTAATTAAATGGTAGACTGTGTGGTCCCAATCGACCGAAATCCTTAGTGTAATTGTTCCCGGGCCTTTTTCTCTAGGGCTATTGCTACTGGACTTTAGTTCCTGATATGCCCCACACTGTATTCCCAGGGCGAATAGTTCACAATCAAAAAATCTTTTCATCCAACGGGTTATTTATTTAGAATAAAGCTAGAGGTCGCAACGGTACTGAAAACCAGTACCGGTAACCGTCACGCTAATAACCGTACTGTTACCGAAATACTGGTAAAAATATGTAAGATAGAATGCCAATGCGCTGCCACCCCCGTTTTGTTCCCAACTCTCTCTGTAGCTTCTCAAGTCTATATGCATACATGGTGCAAGACCGATTTGAACCCATGCTGATGAACTTCACGAAATAGTATATAACTATCTTTCGAATCAAGATGTATTTTTAGTTTTGAATTAAATGTATTACACACTTCAAACCATTTCTCAACTGTATCAATAGCAAGCGACGTGCAGTATACATGGTGGTGGGGTAGGTAAATTAGATTTTATTGACACTCTTGAGTTCTGGAAAGTAAACGGAGTAAAATATCCTGATGTGGCGGGTTTGGCTGAAACATATCATGCTATTCCTGCGTCATCCGTGTCAAGTGAACGCCAGTTCAGTGCAACTGGCAATACTCTGGCTACTCTGTGCAGTTGCTATTTTTCTAGTTTCACTTTAGGAGGGCCAGGTAGGTCAAAATTGAGTATTGCACTATTCCCACTTTCGAAACTAATTGTATTGGCTCTATTTAATGTCATTTTATTTCAGCAGAGTGTGAGGACAAAGATCGCCAATGCTCTGGTTGGGGAAGCTTTTGTTTGACCAATGACTTTGTTAGAACAAATTGCCTTAAAACCTGCAACACCTGTCCTGGTAAGATAACAATATACTACCTATAAATAGTACATGGTATGAAATGTCTAGAACTATATGTTGCAGAAATATTTGAACAAACGTTCAATACCTTCCTTTTTTATACATAAATTGATTCATTAAGTTAACAATAAGACACATGCAATTGATTGCTTACGTTTTGTAGAAAACATTAGCTGCAATTTTAGACAATATGAATAGGAATGCATTAACATTTAAATCGTATCAAAGTAATTTTATAGCGGCAATTTTAGACAATATGAATAGGAATGCATTAACATTAAATTTAATCAAAGTAATGTTTTAACTCATATAAGAAACAATAATCCAATGGGCCATGAAAGAGTTAACACATGCATGCAAAAATTAGCCAAACCGATCAATTTGGCTCAAACTTTGATTCACAAAATGACTCATGAGTGTTATTAATTTTTCATTTAATGAATTATCTAAATCTTCATCACTATACAAAAGAAACTGAATTTGTCAACTGTGTTCAAACTCTGAACAAAAATATAAATACCTTTCTATGCATGCAAAATACATTTGCGAAAACCCCTATTTCTTTCTATTATGGTGTCACTGCGGTAAATACCGTTTCCGGGTAATGTTTTTTGATACTTTCAAAACGAAGCCATGCCAACTCAAATGGTGTGTATAGTAGTTTTAAGTGAATACGTACTTTGGCCATTTGAGGTATGGACAGTATGTAAAGCTGTGGGTGCTTACCTTCTAAACGTACCATTCTTAGAAAAAATCGCAAGAATTGGAACTACTTAATTCATTAATTTTCATCGGTGAAGCAGGGATTTTACCTAAAAAATGAGTCCTTGTGTTGGCGTAGTGATATTTAAAAATCGGGATGCAAATCCTATGCTAAATATAGTGTTAAGATGAAGGTTAAGTATAGGGCAAGCAGAAATATAGTCAGTGTATGGGCTAATTCGTTCGAACATGGCGATATGTACCCCAGAACTTGAACTTTGTGTTTTTTTTCCATATTGTTTAATAAATTACCGTAGTGACACCTTAAAACCACGCGATATACTTCCGGATTTTAGCCGTATTATTCGTGTCATGATCAGGGGTCAAAAATGTTTACACAGATAGCTAGGCAGGATGTGTTCACTTCCAGCCAATCAGAATACGCTATTTCACGTAACTACGTACATTCAGATATATAACAAGAAACAAAGTCAAGGTCACAAGTTAAACGGTTGTTATGGTAATGCCTGGACTCTACAAATTAGAATTAATACTTTGCCAGCTCGACCCTTGCGAGAAGTGTCATTATCCTACCGAGCAAAGTTCGAGGGGATATAGGAAAGCTGTCCGTCCATTTCAAGATTGGTACTGAATTTCAAAATGGCCGTATTTTTTGTAAAAACGTAATATTTGATAATCCAAATACCGGTTGACGGATTTTGTTGAAATATTACATGTTTATGCCTAGAGAGAAAAGAGCTCTGCTCACGGAGACATTTTTCAAGAAGGCCACCTTATTTTAAAATGGCCTCCAGTTTTTGTAAAAAGACATAATCTTTGATGATCAAATACCAGTAGACTGATTTGGTTCAAATTTTATACACTGAATCCAAGAGATAAAAGAGCTCTCCTCAAGAAAGCAGCTGAAATGGCCACCATTTTTCGTAAAAAAACATAATATTCAATTAATAACTCAAATTCCAGTGGACAGATTTAGTTCAAATTTCATTAGCTTATACATTTGGACAAGGGAGCTCTGCTTAAGAAGAGATTTTCAATATAGCCACTGTTTATCAAAACATGTTTTGTTCGGTGGGATTTGCTACTCCGTGGAGTTGCTGTTTTCTCGTTGAAAATGTATCATTTTAATGATTTCATATCTTTGAGATGATTTGGAAAAAATAATTTGCAATGTGTGGAAAGATTCACACTACTATACCTAACACCTAGAAATGCATAAGATACTTTGTTTGTCTAATTGAATTGTTTAATATATTTTTGAAAGTGCCTTACTAGCATCTAATTTTCAACCGATAAACCATTCATAAGGAACAGACAAATAAAAACAAATACATAATCATTACTAATAAGCCAAATGGGTTGCTCATGAACACCAAATGCAAGGTATAGTAGTGTGAGATTTGAAGCCTAAGATTCATTGTATTGTGTAATGACTATGTGTTCCTTTCAGGCGCTGTTGAGTAAAATAAACATCATGAGACTGCCACCATGAGAACTACTACACAACCATAGACGATTTGTGATAGAGTTGATATAACCAACACATTCGAAGAATAGTTATTTACTTCAATTAGCAGAAGAATAATCATAAAAGCACACACAAATACTGCACCTTGGATTAGTACAACGACAACGTTTATTGAACAGAAGTGCCCAACGCACCGATTGACTATGTTAAAAATTAAAGTTAAATTCATTATGTGGTTAAACGTAAAGCACAACAAAACACCTGACATACGTTGGTTGTATAATTTATTGCGTAACACTAACTAAAAGCAATAAATCATTTTGATCGTAGAGATCATATGTTTTAAATTGTTTAATTATGATTAAACCTAATTGCTGCTGACATTACAAAAATTAGTACCCTCATATGTTATGTGAGGAGTAAGTTTTTTTAAGTTAAAACACTTAATTGACACCCAAGTAACAATAGTCAAGAGGGCGTGGATGGGTGGGTGAAAATAATGAGAGAACGAAAGTGCCCACATCTGTTGCAAACAGATTGCAGGGATAACAGGGAGTCTGCAGTAATCAGAAACAAATTTGACTCCATGATAAAGCCATCTTTAAACAAATTTTCAAATGAAAATACACGTGTGACAATATAATCATCATATTAATATATCGCATAACAAAGCCCTACATACTCGTACAATACATAGCAGTACACCGACAACGATTCCATGTTACTGTATGTTTAAATTAAAGTTGTGAACTCTGAGTAGCAATACAGAGGATCACACGAGTTATAAGTTATAATGATTTGAAGTGCAATACAGGATATATTCTGCTCTCGATATTCTGTATTGGAACTCGACTTTGTCTCGTTCCAATACGGAATTTCTCGAGCAGAATATATCCTGTATTGCACTTCAAATCATTGGTAATTGTGTTGTTACTGCAAAAACTTCTATTTCTTCATCACAAATCTACCATATTTTGCATCTGTCAAAACCCCTCATTTCATGTTAATTTTTAGACTTTTGCTTGTGCCATCATTAAATATATTTATTCAACTTGTTATTCAGGATATTTTAAAAACTTTTCATGAGGTTTTTTATTTTCACACTTTTGAAAAAAGTCATTTTAGAATTGTACAGGGTGGTCAAAAAAGTGAACCCTTGCAACGTGCTATATTTCCCTTATTACCTACAGGAAACCTTTCATATTTGCACATGTTGTAGAGGTAGGTCTAAACTTTTTATTGGTACCATGCATTTGTCATAGTCTTGAAATTTGCAGAAATTATAAGCCCTAACCAAACATCAATGAATATCGATAAAATGTGAACTTCAACATTTGCGATTTTTCAACCCTTCAACAATTTTCTTGTGGAATTTATTTTGCTGCAGTCTGAAAAACCTAATGTTTTCTGACTTTGTTTGGATTTGAATCAGGAACATTATGCTGTAAAAATTAGCATCCTGCCTCCATTAGTTGCAAAGTAATTGTGATCCAAAGAAAGTTCTAAGTTTCCAAAGAAGAAAACATTTTTTGGTAAAATCGCAACATACCCCTTATATATAGTCTTAAAATGTTCATATATAGTCTTAAAATGTTCTTAAATATTCAATAATCATGGACAAATTTTAATGAAATATGGCTCAAAACACTGAATATTATATTTCCTTTTGATTTGTATTCGACGATATTACACCTGTTCTGATGTCTATATTACGATTGAAAAGTGCTCCGAATAGTGAGAGCTGCATGATTGGAATTTATTTCAAACTCATGCAGCTTTTTATTTCACCATCACAAGTGTAACAAATGACAAGTGGTGAAATGTTGCATGTTAATGCCCTGTTCTCCATTCTGAGCACTTTTTTGTGACAACAGCTGGTTATGGACCTTGTTGTTTCTATTAATGATGAAGCATAGATCCGTGAAAGCAAATATCCATATTTACCATTTGTCTGTTACTTATGAGGTCTTCATAACTTTTAACACATTGGTAGGTAATACCTTTCCTTCGAAATACAATAAAGCTTCCTTATCTTAAATTAATTTTAATGATCCCAAAATGATTTACCTATTTCAAATATTGCAATCAAAATGTTGAAAATTAGGAGTTATCTCTGATCCTGTATGCGACCTTGCCGCACATGTAGACACATAACGAACTCATCTTGATAATTTATATTCAAATACTAGTTTCAGGCTCAAATAATTGAAACATATGAACTGAAATTTAAAACCATTGGAAAATTATAAGGTCACAAGAGCTTTGGATCAAGGTACCGCAAACATTTATCTCATTAAAATCATTAATCTCATAGGCGTAGCCGGGGGGGGGGTGCGATGGGTGCAATCTCAGTCCCCAATAACCAATAAAAATAAAATGATGAGAAAGCAGAATAAAAGAGCTTTAACATGCTTTTTATTTGAAGCTTCTAGCTCAATTTTGAAGGAAGTAGTATCAATTTTTGTAAAATTCAAGATAAATCTTATTTTTTGGTTTGTTTATGGCACAATCACAACCCCCGACTGAAAACATATTTTTTTGGCAATCGCACCCCCACCTGACTGAAAGCTGGCTACGCCCCCGAATCTAAACAAAAAATGATTCCATCATATATATCAACACGGATTACACGAGAATGTAAGGAATTAGTAATGTGATGTGCATGTGAAACAAGTCTGAATTGAAGAAAGGGAAAACTATGCCCCGTTTACTCACATCCCCCATACCCAACAGTTTCTATGTCTCCAGTTTGTTTCTTGCGTATCAATATTTGGATCAAGTCTCTAAGAACATCACGGAGCTAATATGGTCGCCTGACATTTTATTTAAAAGAACCGAAATTTGGAATATACAATTAAAATGACTTCATTTCAAATGGCAACATGGTAACATCTTGGCACGAGGGCACAAATGAATAAGGCAGATGCGAGAAGGTAGTTACCAGTTTCACCACCAGGGGGCTCGTTCGGGTCAGATAGCATGGCGGGTAAAGTAGTAAGTTCCCTTTTACTTAAACCACATCTGTTGAAGTGGTTCAATTTTCATACATTTTCGAAACCATATTTCCAGATGTACTTTTAAATGTAGATTTTAAATATGACATAACTTGGACTGCATTTTGAATACTTAACGCCGTAAATCAAGATTATTTCTAATCGCATCTAGTTTAATTGTTTAAAACAAGGAAAATTATTAACCTTGAGCATTAATATTGTAAAAGTGTTTGAAACGGTCTTAAGATTATACTTTTTGGTTCCCGTGATTTAACATCTTTGATCACATAAATATCTAGAAAAACAATATCAATCGACTGTTGGAGAAATTCAAATACCTTATGAAACCGGAATCCAAGTTAAATACGGGAATAATCAATAATTAGTCTATTTCGAAAAACAGTTAAGATCTGCTCTTTTAACCCGTTTCTGTAACTTAAGTGACGAATTAAATCGACGATTTTGTTGTCTTCTGAGCTATTTTTTCGCAAACATGTTTATTTTCTAAAACATATGATACTTATATACGTTTGTGTGAAAAAATGTCGTGGGGATTCTGCCAACAACGCATAAAATAAAGAAAAAAGAAAAATCTTTCCTTAGACGTTCTGACATTTTGTTATCGAAACGAACCGTTTTGGTAACCAGCGTAATCGATTGGATCACCAGTGCGTTTTTGAAGTTCTGTTCATATAACAATAGTGAGGTATCAAATCAATGATTATGTTGTCTTCTGAACTATTAAATTATTGGATTACATTTTCTGAGACACATGATACTGACACACATTTGTGATAACAATTTTGTTTGAATTCTACCTGCAACTAGTGAAATAAGGAAAAAAGAAAAATCGTACCTTCTAGGCTTTGACATTTTGTTACCGAAACAATCCGTTTCTGTTACAACGTTATAGAGTGGACTACCAGTGACGTTCATGTAATACAGGGTGTCTCAATTGTTTCCCTTTGTTCTAGGTCTTTTAACTTGGAATGAGAATTAAAACACTCCTTCAAATAGCCACAGAGAAGGACGTTTGCAATTGAGGATGACGATGGCACCTTGATTTAGGACCTTCCAGTTACCTTCCAGAATTATGCAGGCCATCCTGGAGACCAAATGATATCCAAATGAAAACTTAGTAGTCTCAATTTATTGAGCCCCTCTGCACACAACAAAGGCTACATTAGAATCCCAACCAATTCACTAATTCGATCTGATAATTTTGTCTTAATCTGGAAAATATGTTTTCCATGGATTTGATTTGAGTATTATCGCTAATAGCAATAATTTTACTTAATTCTTTAAAAATGTTGGGTGTAGAGCAACTGTGAAGTGAAATTAGCATTAGCTGATAATATCAGCTAAATGATAATTATCAAAACTATCGCTTTTATCGCTAAAAAATCTTGGGTCTGATGTGAATGTTACGAAGAAAAGGATAATAAGGGGTTTTAATAATAATCGACGACTCTCAAGTTCAGTACAATCCTTTATAAAATGAATTAATGTTTCACACTCTCCACATAAAGGACACAATCTATTTTCTTTAGCTTCTGCAGACCTCCCAATGGCTTCCCCCACCAGAAGCCGTACCATAAACTTACATTTGAAAATGAGATCAGGCCTAAACTTACATAATTGGTACCATATTATTGGAACTCGATTATTGACGACATCTCTGTACGTCTTAATCTTAGTATACATCATGCATTTTAGATGCCATCTATTTATGTAGTAATTGGAAACCGCATTTTTAGAAATTTTCTTCCAATGATGCTTTTTGGGGAAAATACCTTGGTCGATATAGCTCTTCATTCTATCTAAGAGATTAAACCTTGTACCTAGTTTGATTATTTCAGCTATAGGCGATGACACTGACATCCCTACGATAAATATTTTTAAAAATGTAGGTACCATCGAGCAATACTCACAGCTTTACATTGTCCAGCACAAGTATTAAATATATGCCAAAAGTACACGAGTTTCTTCATTACAATAACTTCAGTAATGTCACACCAGCCTATCTGTAACAAGGATGCGCAATCTGTTGTATGTTTTGGTAAACCTTGAATATGTTTAGCTGTTTGAGTATGGAAACGTTCTAGTTTACCCAGGCTGGAGTCATTGTATTCAAGAACCTCTGCTCCATAAAGAACTGTGGGAATTGACACTGCCCAGTACAGTTTGGAAGCTGAGAGGGGGTTTACAGTACAATTTTCAGGAGTTATACAGTCGACTGTAGCATATAAAGTCCTTCTACCTTTGGAAATACCATTCTCAATGTGGTAACCAATGTCTCTCTGTGTAACAGGGAGTCCTAAATGAATAAGTTCATTTACAATGGCAATGTTGTCTATACCGAAATTAAAAGGGAGTACGTCTTTATTTCTCCCTTTAACAAAGTGAACTGCAGAGCATTTTTTGGGATGAATAATATCAGCTTAATTTGATAATATTAGCAACACTATCGCTTTTATCGCTAGAAAATCTTGGGTCTGGGATCAATGTTAAGAAGTGCCATGTATCAAAATGATCAAATTTATCGCTAAAAGATTAAAATTATTGATAATTGATAGTTATCAAAATCGCTAATTGATAAAAGTGAAAGGCACATATGAAATTAGCAAAAGCTGATAATATCAGCTCAAATTGATATGTATCAAATTTATCGCTCATTGATAAAAATGATTGATAAATGCCCTTAAGAAAAAAGCCATGGTAACCATGGTAATCCATGGTTTTCCATGGAAATTCATGGTTTTTCATGGTATTTTCCATGGAAATTCATTGATACCTATGGTAATCTTCCATGGATATTTATCATGATTTTCCATGGTAATTAATGGTTTGGTAATTGTTTTTTCATGGACGTGTCATTGTTTTTACCAGGAAACACAGAGATCCAAGTTGGACTGAGACTTATCAGTGAGAAAAAAGGGTGGACATTTCATGTTATTTTAGGTTAAGCAGAAACATATTAAACCCAGCTTCCTTACAAATGAGAAAATATGTAAAAATTATGTAACTTTTCTTAAAAGAAATATGATTATGCAGTTAATGCAACCTAGAGTAGGCCACATTATTTCAAAGAAAAATATGTATAGGGCTTTTGTGTAGATCAAGACTAGATAGAGATTCCTTATTTTTTAGGCCAAACACTTCTAGTCTTTGGGAAAGATTAAGTCAACTAGCCCTACCTCTGTTTTGTTTACTTATTGTTTCTTTAATATTCAGTTATGAAAATTAAAATGAAATAATTTCAAAAATAAAGATCTCTTTTTCTTAAATTACATGTCTTGCATTTTAGAATGCAATAAAAACCATGTTTTCTTTCTTTGAAATTGAGGAAACTGCAATCATAAGCCATGGAAGTCGGTTGATTGCAATCGAAAGCCATGCCTTTCCATAGTTATTTCTTTGATGTTTTGGAAAGTGCAATCAAAAGCCATGCTTTTCCATGGATATTTATTTAATGTTTTGGAAAGTGCAATCAAACACCATGGTTTTCCATGGATATTCTTTTGATCTTTTGGAAAATCCATGGTTTTCCATGGATGTTTGTTTGGTCTTTTGGATGCAGAAAAAAGTATGGAAAACCATGGATAACCATGGAATATCATGGCTACCATGGCTTTTTTCTTAAGGGTGATAATTATCAAATTCAACTCTTATTGATAAAAGTGAGTTGCCACACCCAAATCACCAATTTTTACTAAACCCAAACTAAAAGACATAGAACAACTTAAAACCAGCATCCGATCAGAAATCAAAACATTCCACCAGAAATATAAAATGTGATGATGAATGTAGAGTAGTAAGGGTGCAGAGTGTCATCGAAATATGAGGTTACATTGATATTGTAGTGTAAAAGTTAAAGGGTTAATGTATCAATAAGGCAAAACTGAATTAAAAACTATGTATATGGGAAAACACTTGTTTTGATTACGAGACCATGCAAAACATTCAATTTTGCTTTGTTTGAGACACCCTATATATTTATTTTAAACTTAAAACTGATCATATGGATAACCAAAACATTTTAAAGATCATTTGAATAAAATGTGAATTGATAATATAACATTAAAATACTCAAACATGCCAAATGATGAGTCGTCCAGGGGATTAGTTTTCCAGGGGATGTGTTGTCCAGGGGATTAGTTTTGTCTCGGGGATGAGTTGTCCAGGGGATGAGTTGTATAAGGGATTAGTTGTCCGGCTACCCTTTGATTATTCGTTAAATCACAAGTTCAGGTAATGGGGATAATAGAATTGAAGTCTAAAAATAATGTCTTGAAAATGACACCCTTATACTTCTCCCGATATACTTCTCTCTTTAAACCAAACTCAATATTTAAAATAGACTCTCTATTTATTAAACACATTACTTAAACCCTCCCAATGAATATACTTTATGTTGTATTATACCTATTCATACATTTGACAAATTGATACGTATGATTTTTCTGAATAGGGTTGTTGCACAATGAATGTGCGTTCAAATAGCATGACCACATGAAATTATAATATTGAAATGTTGAAACCGATGTGTTGTTAATGTGTTTTATTGAGTCAAGTGTATTCAGGTTTTAAATTTGCTTATATTTTATTTTTGATACCGATGATATATTTCTCAATCTGATGTTCTATATCAAATTTTAATGCTCATGGCCATATAAAGAAATATTTGTTTATTCATTACATCGTCACATGAGAATAACTTTGTACTATCTCACATTTTTACGGAACTGAGAAATCAAGGTTTGAAAGTTTAGAGGTCTGTATCTTACTTAGTATTGCTATGTGAAACTTGATTTTTTGTATGTCACCTGGTCTCACCCTAGAGATATCTTATATGAAATATCATACCTTGAAACAATTTACAAGATCCTTTTTTAAAACTATGGAAATGGAGTTGATACAATTTCCCACCGGAATAACAGCTTATTTCTAATTTCAAATTGTCATATCTGATATCAACTGTTTCAACCAATCAACTCTCTAAGAATTGGTCATGTGACTTGCAAAACTTGGAGTTATAACAATCTTATATTAAAACAAAGTATGCCAATATGCATGTTATTGTATCTAGAATGAAAAATAATGTTTTGCTTTGTAAAAAAGTCTTCAAAAACCAAAGAATATTATTTAATAAAATAAAGAAAATTCAATTTATAAAACTTTAAAATCAATTTCTCAAATAAGTACAATTATTTCTTAATCTTGGAATCTCAGGACACCCTTCAAAAAGAATTTATTGCCTTTGAAACTAAGGCAGAAGTACAATGCATTGAAACCAATGATGCCAATACGGTCCCCCACATATTTCCCTCGGTATAAACCCTGTAGCCTAAACCTCCCAGCACATTACAATGTAGCCCCTAATGGCCGGTCCGCTGGTCATTATCAGGTTATTTTTGATACAGACCAGTTGATTTTTTCACTGGGTATAGGAGAATAACATTGCAACTGGTCCGTAATTCCATTTTGACCAGCAGGTTTCAGATCCTTTGGGCCTAAGATATAACCAATTTTTATTACATGCACATGGAAGAAATTTGAAAATAGAAAAATAATTTCTAATTAAAATTTCATTTTAGATTAATGAAAGTGATGAAACCTCGATTTAGGTAATCACATTTTGTTCATTGGGTGCAGCTATCATTATCCATTCAATTTCTGTTGTTTGCTACTCTGTGGAGTACAATTGGGAATTGAAGCAATTGTAGAAGTGGAGACTAAGAGTGGCTCTTTGAAAAGAAATTGAACCAATTTGTTCCTTTTCCAAAATAAAATGTAGATGATCTAAAAACAATGATCCCAAAAATGCAAAAGAAAAGACAAATCTGAAAAACATACTAGTAATAAAATACCTAAAAAGATCCCAGATGTTCAGTGAAAAGCGCAAAGTAAATCATAGATGAAGAGAAAATAAAATAAGTGTTTTAAGGGACTATACTAACATAGAGATAACTCCTTATTGATATAGTGTATGGTCAGTAAAAGTTAAAGCTAGTTTAAATAGATTTAGCTTTTTTCCACAAACTATAAAACATCATTTTGAAAGAGATTTCAAAAGTATACAGACAGTGATTGCCTTTGAGCAATGTAGTGCAAAATATGACAGTTACTATTTGTTTTGATTACTATATCTAGTATATAACCTATTATTATGTACTCTATTTGAAGAAACAAATAAGTAGTCTTTCATTTTCAACATTTAATGATGATAGCTTCGCATATGCATTTCTATTGCATTTGGCCATTCAAAACCCTATAAGACCTGGTAGCAGGGAAGATAAAGGGTACTTTTGACTGCTCACATGATTTAATTAACTGGTCATTTGTACTTTTCATCTTCCCTGGTAGCAAGGATTTAGGTTTTCGAGGAAATTAGTAATTCTATTTCATATCATGTGGCCATGAATAATCCAATGAGCATCCATAATACAAAGAGTAATTGAGGGCATATAATTTGAATATGCATGGGATTACACATACTGTATCATTTTATTTTTTGATCTACTTGTAATAGTTCTAAAACTAAAACATGAAAGGCCAGGCATGCAAACTGGCATGGTATTGTGTTACAAAACATTATTTCATTCTAGATACAATAACATGCATATTGGCATACTTCGTTTTAATATAAGATTGTTATAACTCCAAGTTTTGCAAGTCACATGACCAATTCTTAGAGAGTTGGTTGGTTGAAACAGTTGATATCAGATATGACAATTTGAAATTAGAAATAAGCTGTTTGTCTGGAGATGGTACAATTTCACACTGAATTCTAGCTTAATGAGAGGGAATTGAGATGGGGCATGTATCTGAGATGAAAGCCTGTGTTTCAAATAGTAAAATTCCATGTCTATCTCAATTTTTTTGAAAATGGCAGTTAGTACAAAGTTATTCTCACGCGACGACATGTCGTCAAACAGTGTTTTGTTTTTCAATCTTTGTTCTTACGATGTTCAGAATTTGAATTCTATGTGTAAATTATCTGACCTAGAATGACATAACTAGAATAAATGTGCTATTTTATGTTTCACTGATTAATAAGTTATTGGAAAGATTGATTTCTTATGTAAGATTTGTTGAATTTTCATTTTCATTTGTTGATTCATTGAACATCAATAAAACTACTGCATTAAAAATCAGACGAACCAAACCTTCTAATAATGTGCAAAAAGTCAGGATACCAAAATTACAATACCCAAACCCATCTACTAAATGATAGAACATGATCTTACATCAAAACACAATCTTGCAAAGCCCGCCACACAACAATCAAACACCTACAGGGTGAGTAAAAAAGGTAGCCCAAACAAATCTTTAAACTGGGTTATCCTGCATGGGTTAAGTGTCATACCGAACACAGTTAAGTCTTGTGTATTGTCATTCTACCAAGCTTCGGTGGTATGTCTCTCT